GAGCTGGAGCTGGAGCTAGAGCTGGGGCTAGTGAGCTGGAGCTGGAGCTAGAGGCTGGTGCTAGAGCTAGAGGTGGAGCTGGAGGAAGAGGCTGGGAGCTGGAGCTGGGGGAGGCTGGAGCTGGAGCTAGAGCTGAAGCTGAAACCGAAGCCTTTATTTAGATGAGTCTACGTAAAATTGGAATTCATTGATTCTAGCGGGGTTAATCGATAGATCAATGTCAGTCTATTTTGCATCATTTTCAAATCATGAAGAAATTGAGGATTGATTGGATATGGATCCCGAAATGCAGGCCTAACTTTGGCCTATTCTTTGGCCCGACCCTAAACCTCTTCTTTTTCCTTATCCAGATCGATCTTTAACTTAATATGGAGTCCAGGGTTAGACTCAGCGAATTAAGACAATCGAATGAACCTTTATAGGTTCCAGAGTGGATCCTGAGCCTGTTATAAGGTTGAATCATTCACTGGATTTCTTAATGGACTCATATGGGTTACAGAATGGACCCTGGACCCCCATTTGATTGAATAGCTTGGATGGGTAAGATCTGTAGGATTGGTACTAGACTGTACGCTTCTTCTATATAATCGATTTGGAGTGTCTTTTTCTATGCATGCCTATTCATCAATCGCCCCTATATCCACCAGCTGTCAAGAATTCTTTTTTTCGTCTTTTCTTTTCTTTCTTTCTTTTGCCTTTTTGCTTTCTTCCTTCGAATCCCAAGGGACATCCGGTTTCCGGTTTCACCGAACGGGGCTTTCGATCACCATCGATTTAGTCATTGATGGATTTAATTATTCTGATTCTAGATCTGTACTTATCTAAAGATTATTGAATGATTTACGTCTGATAACTCAGTTCCTAGCTCAGCTTCAGCTAGCTCAGCTTCTTTTAGCTTTACTGCCAGCTTTAGCTTCAGCTTTAGCTTCAGCTTTAGCTTCAGCTTTAGCTTCAGCTTTGCCTGAGCTTTAGCTTCAGCTGGAGCTTCAGCTTTAGATCTGGGTTTACCCAACCCAGCAGCTCAATCTGAATCAAGATCGACCATTTTCTTCCAATATCCAATATCTCTTTTCATTCATTCTGGTTTTTCTTTTCTTTTTTGAATGTCTTTTTATATTTTTCAATGTTTTCTATTCATTTTATTCTTTCAATTCTTTTTATTTTTTAAATTCTTCTTATTCCTTCAATTCTTCTCATTCCTTCAATTCTTTTTATTCTTTCAATTCCTTCAATTCTCTCAATTCTTTCAATTCTTCTTATTCCTTGAATCCTCTCAATTCTCTCACTTCCCTTTTCCCCTCATCGTTCATCCAGCTGGCGCAAACAATTCCACCTTTTTTGCCAAGTCTTTCCAAAAACTTTTCGAGATTTTGTTCTAGTTAATTTTATTTTTACAATTTGAAGTTCTCTACAACTTCTACAGCTCTAAAAGCTTTCCAAAACATTTTGTGCTTTTCATTGATCACTTTTAAAGAGTATTAAAGTATTCAGTGGAAGAAAAATAGGTTTACGATAGCTAAAGATTCTTCAAGTTTCTTTCTTTCTTTCTTAAGTTTCTCCTAAAGCTTTCACGACAAATTCCCAAAGATCTAAACATAAATTTCCTCTTCGCCCACCTCTTCCGCTTCTCTCATGGCTGTTTCTTGTAAATCCGCATCTCCAAACTTCCACATTCCACCCGGAAAACAAACCTAAACTTGAAAATAGAGTTCTCAATTTTTCCTCTTCTATTTTCTTTTCTTTTCTTTTCTTTTCCATTTTCAAACCTCTCCTGGATGTTTCCGTAAATTCATTGATCGAACGCAAAGAAAAACGTCGAGTTTTGGGAGATCGCCTCGTAAGAGAATCAATACAGCTGCATCTAGAATTGAGACTATTTAACGGCTGGCCAAGTTGCGCGCTTTTCTCTAAAGTGAACAGCTGATAGGCGGCAAGTTCGATCCTCGCTCGCGTCCATTTCATAAGAAACGGTTCTTTGCCAGATTGAGTCGGAGGGTTAACCGTTATTAAAATTATTAGCTTTTAAAAGGATAGAAAAGCAATAGAATGCTTGGCTTGGCTTGATTTGTCTTTGCTTGACTTGGCTTTGGCTTTGGCTTGGTTTTCCTTGACTTGACTTGACTTTGGCTTGGCTTGGTTTTGCTTGGCTTGGCTTGGCTTGGCTTGGCTTGGTTTGGTTTGGCTTGGTTTGGTTTGGTTTGGCTTGGTTTGGTTTGACTTTGCTTGGCTTGGCTTTGGCTTTGGCTTGGATTGGCTTGGTTTTCCTTGGCTTGGCTTGACTTTGGCTTGGCTTGGTTTTGCTTGGCTTGGCTTGACTTGGTTTGGTTTGGCTTGGTTTGGTTTGGTTTGACTTTGCTTGGCTTGGCTTTGGCTTTGGCTTGGATTGGCTTGGTTTTCCTTGGCTTGGCTTGGCTTGGTTTTGCTTGGCTTTGGCTTGGTTTGGCTTGGTTTGGTTTTGCTTGGCTTGGCTTGGGTTTACTTGGTTTGGGTTTGCTTGGCTTGGTTTTCCTTGGCTTGGTTTGGCTTTGGCTTTGGATTGGCTTTGGCTTGGATTGGCTTTGGCTTGGCTTGGCTTGGCTTGGCTTGATTTTGCTTGGGCTTGGTTTAGCTAGCGTTCTAGTCCAAAAGACTCCAATTTCCATCATCCGTAGTTCTCTAGAACAATAGAAAACGACTGATAGCCTATCTTTGCTTGTGTCTGATCGTAATTATACCGAAGAATTCTATAATTACAAGTAGATTTGAAGTTAATGGCGAAGAGAAGATGTAAATAAACTTCGAAAAGTCCATTCAGCTGAATATGCAGTTTCGTGGGGGATTTCAAAAGGAGTAGCTACGAAAAAATGACAGAAAAGGGGGCGGTTTCATCGCTTTTCCAGGCGTTTGTTTAAATTTTCGCATAAAACTAAAAGATCTTCAAAAATTCCTCTTAAATAGTGTTGAATTTTCTATAAATCCTCCAATATTTGAAGATTTCACAAACCTTTTTTATCAACAAATTGTGGTGGATCAAAATGAAGGTCAAGACGTTTCTTGATCGATAAAATGGTCTCTTCTTCAAACATCGTCTCTCTTTTCCATTATAAATTGAATCTTTATTACATAAAATAGATAAAATAGATAAAATAGATAAAATAGATAAAATAAATTAAATATTTAAATATTTAGGTCAATATTTAGGTAAATAACTCATTAATAAGTTAATTTTTTGAAAAGTAGAGCTGAAAATTGGACGGTAAAAAGAGAAAGATTGAGAGATTTTTGGGGAATTGTAGTTTGTAGTTTGATTGTAGTTTGATCGGAACAAAGTAAAATTGAAACTTTTGATAAGGGAAATTTTGAATTCTAAATAACTTGGATTATAAATAATAAGATAAAGAAATTAGATAATTAAAGAGTTTTTAAATGTTTTAATTCAAACGTCCGAGGAAGATCCATACCTCTGAGGCAGACCCATACCTCTGAGGTAGACTTGGAGGTCTTGGATATCTTGGAGGTATGGGTCTACCTCCGAGGTAGACTTGGAGGTCTTGGATATCTTGGAGGTAGGGTCTACCTCTGAGGTAGACTTGGAGGTCTTGGATATCTTGGAGGTAGGGTCTACCTCTGAGGTGGACTTGGAGGTCTTGGATATCTTGGAGGTAGGGTCTACCTCTGAGGTAGACTTGGAGGTCTTGGATACCTCCGAGATATTGAAGATTTCAATGCACTAAGATACGTTTCATCGAAGCACATTTCATACATTAGAAAGTTAAGTTTAATTTAAGCACAAGTACACTACACAAGTACACTGCACAAGTACAAGTACACTAGATGGCTGAGAATTTGATGCAGAGACAAGATTTTTCTTAAGAAATTTGATTCACTTGACTTGGGATATTTTTAAAGGCCATATAGGGATTTTGTTATCATTGATTAGCTTAAAGATGCGAAAAGGCGATAGTAGGCATGGATTTTAGAAGAGAAAGAGGAAAAGGAAGAGAAAGAGGAAGAGATAGAGATAGAGATAGAGAAAGAGATAGAGAAAGAGATAGAGATAGAGATAGAGATAGAGGAAGAGAAAGAGATAGAGATAGAGATAGAGATAGAGATAGAGATAGAGATAGAGGAAGAGATAGAGATAGAGAAAGAGATAGAGAAAGAGATAGAGGAAGAGAAAGAGAAAGAGAGAGAAAAAACGCCTTGGGTCTCGCTAGATTCGTATCATTTATATGGAAAGGGAATGACCCCTGTTTGGGTTAGATCAACTAGAGAGATACCGATGGATCAACCAGAGAATCTTTATTTCATTTATTTATTTCTTGATTTCCTTCTATCCAATCCAAAACTCAACAACCGACAGATGAAGCTAATAAGTAAGTAATCGTTGGAGTTACCTTCCCGAGTTACTTCTAGAAATTCTTATCGTGCTTACTTTTATTCTAGAAACTTTTATTCTAGAAAGTATTGACTTTTGATGAAACACAATTGCTTCAAAAATTTCTCTCCATCATAGTGAATTTGTTGTGAATTTGATGTCAATACATTCATTCACACAATATATTACTTTTTATAAGATACTCAACGTTGAAACTGATCTGAAACTGATCTGAAAAGCTGATTTCATCTTTTAATATCTAATTAGATTCCTATTGACGTTGTTTTTAATCCATTCGAAACTTCTGCAGCGAATAATCGCTGCAGCAAAAACTCAGGAACGGACCGCTGCAGCGATTATTCGCTGCATTCCATTTTCATTCAATTAATTGGTTTTTTTTTTGCTGTTTTTCAGCATTACATGTATATTCCAATTGTAACAGATCTACAAATTACGTGGGCAAAAAAAAGATGTTTCATCTTTACCCGGAATCAATGCAGCCTCTGGTTTTGCATTGAAATGTTCCATAATAGCTCTAATCTTATAAAGGCGATCTCCTGCAGGATCCAGTTCATTATCACAAAAACGCAGATTTCGAAGAATAGATTCAAATTTTGCTCTTGACATAATGTGGGACATGTGGGGAAAATCCTCCTAATCCAGGCCTGCTACTCCAGTAGTCACGAATCTTCGGTAATTTAACGATTCCCATTTGAAGCCAGGAAGAGCTTGAAAGATTTTGCATCGAAATCCTGCCAGTTTGTTTTCCTTTTTCCATGTTTATTAGATTCGCCTACTAACATATTGATTAATTTGTCGTCGATAAAAGAAAAATAATAATCGATAGGATCTTGAAAAGTGCTCAAGTCAAATCCAAATTGTTCTTCATCAAAAATGTTCTTCATCCAAATTGTTCTTCATCTCTCTTAAATCTTTTCAACCATAAATAAACTGCTTCGGAGTCAAAAATGTCAAAAAAGGGCTTGGTCCGCAGACGAAAAAAAAAGAAAAAACGCTTTGGTTTCGAATGGGTTAAGGAACTGGCGCAAAAACGACGCGGAACACTTTCTAAAGCATGGATACGCTACCGTACCCCACCCAAAAATTCCTTTTTGCCATTTTTTTCATTTTTTTTCTGCATTCCGTCAAATTTCGTCCGGTTTTTTTAGTTTTTTAGTTTTTTGTTGTTATTGTTTGTTATTGTTAAGTTTGTTATTCTTTTCTTCTTTCTTCTCCTTCTATTTTCCTTTTTCTAGCGCGTTTTAAGGTTATCTCCCCCTTCCCATTATATTCCTCTATAGTTCCTATTTAGTTCCTTTAAAGCTCCTTTAAAGCTCCTTTATAGTTCCTATTTAGTTCCTTTAAAGCTCCTTTATAGTTCCTATTTAGTTCCTTTATAGCTCCTTTAAAGCTCCTTTAAAGCTCATCAACCCATTTTCATTTTCTAAAATCGTTTTTTTCGTTTCTTCGACTTTTGTGACTCCTTCTACTTCATTTTCTTCGAAATTTCTTTTCATTTTGTCTTTTTGTAGTCTTAATGTCTTTGAAAATGACATTTTAGTCATTGAAACTTAATTTAACCAATTCTCTTTCAACTAAACCGCAGAAAATGGGAGCTAATCAAAAAAAGCGCCGTGTACAAACAGCGCCGGCCAAAATAATGCGTTTGCCGTGATGTTTATTTGTGTTTCTTATTTTCATTAGATCTAGAATGGAAATTAGCTATCTGCTGAATTTTTTGGAGCCGTTTAGAACAAATTTGGGATGAGAAAATGCCAAAAAACGGAAAAGAGGGCTCAAAAAGAGGTTTACTGAGCTTTTCTCGGCACCAATTCCGTTTTAAGTGTTCCCAAAGTATGCAAAATGTAGATAATTTTATTCTGCATCTAATAAGAATAAGAAACACAGAAACTCAGCTGTGGAGGGCCTATTTTTGCTGTGGCGCTGCTTTGATTAACTCCCCCATAAAATCTATCAAATCAATCTAGAGTTTTTGGTCTAATTATTTTAGAAAAAGAATTGATGAGTAAAGGTTTTTGTTAAATAAGGTTTTAAGTAAACTTTTAAGTGCTTTAATGGTTACTAACTAGCTGATAATTGATTGAATGCATTAGAAAGGCTGCTTTTTTGCTACTTTTAAGGTTTTCAGCAAGCTTTAAAGTAAGATTTTAAGTAAGCTTTAAAGTAAGCTTTAAAGTAAGCTTTAAAGTAAGCTTTAAAGTAAGCTTTAAGTAAGCTTTAAGTAAGCTTTAATGGTTACTAACTAGCCGATAATTGAATGAATGTATTAGAAAGGCTGTTTTTTTGCTACTTTTGATCAAAAAGTGTATATTCGTGAATAATTTCGTTTTCTTTTTTCTAAAATCTTCAACTAATCTGTTATTTTTCGGTGAATTTTTGAGGGAAACTTTTTGCGATTTGCCATTTGCGAAAGTCCTCAAAAATGCATGAGCTTTTGTGCTATTAGAAAAAAAAAAGCTTAGAAAAGCTTTTATCTTTTTTTAGCTTAAAACCTTGTCAACGTTTAGATAATCTAGTCTAGATTTATATTATCATATACTGTTCTCAATCTCTAACAATTTCCATGTCATTCTTGTCATTTCAAAGCAAATTTTCCCTTTCCGTTCATTTTTTCAATTCTAGATTTATATTATAATATACTATTCTATTCTATTCTATTCTATTCTATATATACTGTTCTCAATCTCCAACAATTTTCATGTCATGCTTGTCATTTCAAAGCAGCTGTTCCCCTTTTCATTCATTTTTTCACTCACTTTGTCACTAATCTCAAGAAAAGCGCCATCTTTTTTTTGAAGGATTAAACATTTTTACGTCAAAGTTTTTAGGTTTAAACGTATAATGATTCTTTTCCGATTGTACTTTTCTATTATTTTTCTATTCTATTAAGCTACTGATTTTTTTTTCGCTTAAATCTTAGCCTGGCTTTTCTGAGATCACAAAATCTGTGAATCTGACTTTTAAATGGACTTTAGGCTATCAAATATACTACCGTAGCTGTAACTCTAAACTAAACTAAAGCTGTAACTAGAACTATAACTAGACTAGACTAGACTAGATTATAACTAACTTTATAACAAGGCTTGTGTATTTTTTTTCTATGTTCCTTCTATATTTTTGAACGCAAACGCACCCTTTCTACTGCACTCAAATCTTTATTTTTCTTCTTATTGCAGAGAAAATGAACAATTGAGTGCGCTAGAAGAGGTTTGTTTACGAATTTTTGTGAGATTTCGAATGCAATTTTTGATTCCGATGATTTTCTATCTCAAAAATATCTATCACTTTCTTTTCTCGCTTAATCGATAAACGAAAGTCGATTGTATCGCCAAAACAATGGAAGAAATTCGAGAAATGTTTATATTTTTGAGGAAAAGGGAAAAGCGATGTCTGTATGTATTACAAAGTGTCACTTTCACACATTTTCGAGAAAAGAAAGGAGAAAGAAGACTCCGGAGGGCTCATTTCGTTCAGCGGGACACTCCTGAGCTCCTCCAAGTGTCCAATTCCCCCTGTAGCCCTATTTTCACACCTTTTGAATCAAAGAATGAAAAAACCTTCGACTAATACTTCTACTTATGCATTATGCTTTTAAAATCTAGCAGAGATCGCGTTTCCCCATGCTTTAAAGTGATCTAATTGAATATTTCGTTTTTTGTTTCTAATTTTTGATCTAATTGCTGACCT